GAGCTGCTGCAGACAGAGCCACGCGTCATCCCCGCTGTGGCTGTGCCAGATACCATCATCTCCCTGAGCCAGAGGGCAAAAGGGCCCCAGACCCGAGCTGGGCCAGGTGCTGCCATGCGGGTCACATCCCAAATACAGGTGAGGGAGCGGGCAGGAGCAGCGAGGGGAGGCAAAGGGAGGTCTCAGCAGGAGCAGGACGCAGAAGAAAGATTCGTGGTTCTCTTCAGTGTCTTTTAGATGCCAGGTCAGCGTGCTGCGCAGCAACAGATGTCTCTGGTGAGGCAGGAAGAAAGCGACAAACACACAGTGTTGTTTATTTCCAGAATAAAAGGACAGCAACTTCATGGAAGGGGAACGGTGGGAGCTAACGCCCCTCTCTGTGCTGGGGTGATGAGAGTCCATGGCTGTTCCCTCCTCCGTTCTGCAGCTGCAGGGTTTTTAGCCATTTCAGGAACAATAAGGAGTGGGAAGCAAAGGACAAGACCTGAGGAAGGCAGTAGACTTTCCAGTAGCAAGAGCAGGCACAAAGAGATGGTAGAAGATAAACCTGCCCCAAACGAATCACTCCTGGGGAGGGCAAAAGCCTCCAGCATGAGGGCTGCGGTTCACGGGGACACGTGTGATTAGAGTTCCCCAAGGTCCCCTTCAAGGGTCCGCACCATCACATACAGCTCAGCCAAGCCAACCACCGAGGCCACAATTACTGCTGACAGGACGCGCTGGGGACAGAAGAAGAGAGACAAGTGACCCTCGAGCTGCTGCCGCTCCTTCCAGGCTGGCACAGAGCGCTCCGCAAGCGTGCTCTGAGGCCACCCCGAGGCCGGGGGCTCACTCACCGCCGCGGTCTCTGCGAAGATGTACTGGCTGCCCAGGTACGTGCAGGCGAAGGTGGCCACCACGGTGACAATGAAGTTGAATACGGTGAGGACAACGGCTTTCACAGAGCGAACTGGAGAGAAGGGGAAAGGACGGCTGAGCTTTTAGGTAAGGTTTGGAGAGGAGGGCTGGGGCCAAGCTGTAATCCTGCTAATGGAGCCTGCCTGGGGCTGCCTCAGCTGGGTTACAGGAATACTTGAGGACTGATGCGATTTATGCCTCCAGAAATATTTTAAGAATGACCAACAGGCTGCTCTTTTACTCGAGGAACACTTTTTGTGCACTAAGTCTTTCCCATGAGATATCTGGAGAGGGAAGGGCTGTGCGATGACAACAGCTAGAGCGATGCAACGGTTCCTGTGACCGACCTGAAGGGACACGCTGCCAGGCATCAGCCACTCACCTTGCCTCCCAAATTCAGCCAGTGTCCCGTTCGTCTCCTAAAAAAGGGATGAGAACAACTTGTGATGGGTTGTATGTATTTATTTTATGCATAATAAAAGCAACAGCGATGCCCTGTCCTGTCCCCAAGACTCAGAAGTTCAGAGCTGCACCCTGGCAGGGGGCAGGAGGGCTGGAGCAGCAGTTCCACCCCTCCGGGGTGTGTCTGGGTTTGTGCTTGTGGTCTGATTCAAGGATGCTGAGAAGGGAGCATTTCTAACCAAAGCACTTCTCAGAGCCCAAGTGTTTCCTTGCACATGGGTTCTCTGCTGCAGACCCTTTAGAATCTTTAATAGAGATGCGAAAGGGTCTCGCCTCGTCATCCGTGTTCATGCAGCTGGTGGGAGCTAAATGTTGTAAAGCTCTGCAGGCTCCCTGTCAGATTGGACACAGTTACACAATTTCAAACACCACACGCCGGCAGGGAGGCGAGGAAGAACGTGATGAGCACACAGATATGGGAATACTCCTCTGCTTCTCTGCTGTTTGAAAGGAACGTTGCTGTCGCTACCCAGCCCTGACAAAACCACTCTAATTCACAGAGGAAGCGGCCAAATTTGACAGAGCAAAGCAGATCCTCCCACAAAAGTTATTGCAGCAGGAGAATACCTAAATGCACAGGCATGCCAGATACAGTGTGGAGGAGGGACAGCGGGATGAGGTCACAAGGAATGGCAGCAGGAAGGGACGCTGGCTTGTCCAAACAGTTACTGTGCTAAGAGATCTTAGCTCTTCCTCGAAAAGAATGACTGCCTGAATATTACCCTGTTTTTTTCAGCTTGTACCTTGACATCAATGATCTCATTTTAAAACTATGATGAAAATGTAACCATCCCGAGAAAGGCAGCACAGAGGCTCCCAGTAAAACATTTACCACGGGTGCTCAGTCACCCAGATCGAAACCTGAGGTGTGTGGCCCCGCGAGCTGTTCCCAAACGTCAGTATCTCTTCTGTTTCACCATCCTGGTTACCTGTCCCACCTCTGCCCTCAACACTGTATCTGTGGTCCCCTGCATTTACCGTGTGCATTCCTCAGGTCCCTGCCCACGTTCCTTCCGTGCTGCACTCGCTCTGTGGGGCAGATTTCCTTCGC